TCCCCAGCCTCCCTGTGCCCCCCGCTGCTCCCATGACCTGCCCAGCTCCCCAGCCTCCCTGTGCCCCCAGGGGCCAGTGTCCCTGAGGTGCCCAGGGGGTCACTGGGAACCTCCCCGCTCCCCCAGTGTCCCCTGCCCCTGGGAGAGGGGCTGAGCAGCTGCCTTGGAGAGTGGGGATGCCTCTTACCTGCTGCTTGGTGCAGTCACCAGCATCACGCCGGCGTCTCCAGAGCCGGGCGGTCCCCGTGCGGCGGTGCTGTGGCAGGGACGGGCGCCCGGGGGGGCCTGGCACAGCGGGTGTCTCCTGGGCAGGGCAGCTCCTCCCTCGCAGGTCCCGCCAGCTGCTTCCTCGCCCCTGTCCTTACAACCTGGGTGTTCTCCGCAGGTTCACGGAGCTGCTTCCGTGCGGGCTGCGAGCGGCGGCGAGCGCAGCGCAGAGCCCACAGGCACCGAGTGTTTCCTGTGACGTGCGGCGGCAGCGGGCGCGCGCCCTGGCTGTGCCGCTCGGGTTGTGTGCAGGAGCTGTGGGCCCCCCAGACCCATCCGTGTAGGATAAGGCCGGGACAATTCTCCAAGTGGTTTCATCCCCCTCATTTTAGAGGCCCTCATGGTACCTCGATCACCAACATGCCTGTGCTAACCTGCAGTGACCATCCCGTCTCCTTGCGTGGCTAACCCTGCTCTCCAGCCCAGCTCAGTGTGTCTCCACAGCTGTGACCAGGCCCTAGGCCGTGGTGGCCGCCTCACGCAGCGGCTGCTGTCCCCTCCGAGCTGCGCGGGGCCTCTCACGGCGCCGCGCCACCCCTGCCTCTGCCCTGGGCTCACAGCGGGCTGAGCTCGGCAGCAGGGGTAAACAAGGGCAGATGCTGCTGCAGTGCCCTTAATGCTCCTGTTCCTGTGGGAGCAGAGACCACGTCCTCAGCGCGAGCTGTGCGGACTGGAGCTGCTCGAGCGAGCGCAGCCAGGGCGGCTTGTGTCCCTCCTGGCCTCTGCTCGCTGCCCTCTGCTCCCGCTGACGCGCTGGGCTGAAACAGGCAGCCCTGCCCGAGCAGCACCCGCTGCCACACGGCGCCATCCCTGCGCTGCCAGGACCCGGCACCCTGGGACCTCTGGCAGCCCATGGAGGTGCCAGCACTCAGGCCAGGCGCGCGCGGCCCCCGGCGCTCAGGCCAGGCGCGCGCGGCCCCCGCTTCCTGCAGCGCTGCCGCCCAGGGCTCTGCCGGGGCCACGGGCGGGGCTGAGCGCCCTGCTGCTCCTCACACCTCTTTTCTTGCAACTTGCTGGTCAGTCGGAAGCCACCGCGTTGGGCGAGGTGCTCAACGGAAAACAACTGCTAATGCAAGAGCAGGAGCCAGCCGGGCCCATGAAGCGCATGAGGGCTCGTGGGCCTCAGTGTGCGCTGCCTGTCCTGCAGCTGCTGCGGCCAAGCGCCGTGCAACTGCACGTCCCCGAGGCCAGCGGCGCCTCTGTGGCGGGCGCAGGGTGTGGGCGGGACGCAGCTCCCTCCCCCGGCTGCTGCAGTAGCTGTGTCCGCCCAAGCACCTCCCATGCAAGGGACAGGGCGAGCAGGGGACTTCAGAGCAAAGCAGGGCACCACAAAGGTCTCTGAGAGCTGTTTCAAGGGTTAAAATAAGGCAGATATTGGTGAGGAGGAGCTGCTGAGGGCCCTAGTCCACCCGGCTCTGCTGGGGCTCCTGGGGCAGCGATCCCCGCCCTCCTCCTGCCCCAGCAGGTCGCACACCAGGGCAAACCGCTGTCAGGGCTGAGCCACCTCAACCAAAGCTCTTCTGGCCGGGCCTCCTTATTGGCCTGAGGAGAGCCGAGCACTGTGCAGCGCCCTGGGCTGCTCTGGGCTCTCCCGAGTTCGGGGCCACCACCTGGTTCTTGGAAGCTTCACAGGGCGGTGGTTTTCTGTGTAACATGTGGCACCCACCAGCACAACAGGAAGAGCTGGCGAGCCAGCGATGCTCCGGCAACCTCAGGCCACGGCAGGAAGAACCGCCATGTTTCCGTCAGCGACTGGGAGAGCAGGGCCGAGCTCGGGGGGGACGTCTCTGTGGTGCTGAAGAGAGTGATTGGGGAAAAGCCAGCTCCAGTGGCTGCATTCTCGCTCGAGTTGTCTCATCCCAAGGTTTTGAGCAGTGGGGAATGCAGGCCTAAGTGCTTGGGAGCCCTGGCAAGTGCCACCTGCCTCCGGCTGGTTCTGCAGCCCCAAAGGGAAGGGCTGGGAGACGCCGGCGTGTTTCGCCCAGGCCAGCTCTCCCTGCCAGCGACACTGAGACGAGGCCGCCCCTCCAGGCTCGGGAACGCACCGGCATGGCCGGCTCAAAGGCCACAGGACGAGGGCCGCGCAGGCCAAAGGGCAGCGTGACTCAGGACCTCAAGCTCTGCTCTGGGATTTTGGCCAACAAAGTATTTCCTCCTTAGCTAAGACCAGGCGATCTCCAGTGGCCTCTTCTGCCCTCAGCCATTCTGTGTTTATTCTGTGGTTAAACTCAGAGCAGTCGCTCCCAGCTCGGATTCAGGTTTCATGCTTGATGCTCATATTGTTCCTACCTGGAGGAGGGCTTGTGATAAAACACCTGACGCCCCTCAGTGCAGATCTTGCTTTGCTGGTGCCCTTACAGCGTCGCGGCTACAGAACCCCTCCCTTTCCCCTCCGCCCCCTTCCCGGCGCTCAAGTCCCCTCGCTTTCCTGTGCGGGGCCGTCGTGCGGAGGGGCCTCCGTGGCCGAGGTCTCGCTCCCTGCGGCGGGCTCGTCACCGTGCCCAGTGGCTGCCGAGCGCCCAGCAGCCCCTTGTGCTGCCACTTGCTCTCATTTCATTGTCATTGCTATGCCGCGTTCGCCTTTCCTTTGAGCTCTTTCTGTATTTTCCTAAGGGAACTTGGGGAAAAATTCTGGCTATATTAATGCTCCGTTCCTCCTTTGTGTAATTAACTGTCACTCCCTATACAGGGTTGGGGTTTTTTCTTTGTATATTTGGCTTTGCATACAGCAATGATAAATTTCACTTGGTATCTTATGATCTGGTCTCCTTAACCTGCCCTCTGCAGACTCCTGTCTTCTCTAGGTGCCAGTTTACATTTTTGTTCATTTAATAATTTTGTCACTTTGTTACTCATTTATACGATTGACCTTTTTTTTCCCCACTTTTTCTCATCCCTGACTTTCCAATTTCTGAAAACAGGCCGTGTCACCTGCTGCAGTGATCTCTCTTGTGCCAAACTTTGTCAAAGGTCTTTAGCAGAGCCGAGGCACAGGGTGCTGCTGCCCCGCCTCAGGGTGCAGTAGCAGGACTGGCGCTAATTTACAACCATGCTTGCATCCCAAGTAGCTTATGGTGAACGGAAGAAGATAGAGAGCAGAAACCTGAAAGCAAAAACTGGATGTGAAAAGCAGAAGGTGAAAATACCGTTGTACCGAACAAGCAGCTGCTCCGTGTCACTCCGCCCGTGTCCGGGAAAGCCGCGGCCCCGCAGGAAGCAGCAGCCCAAGCTGTTAGGGGCACTGAGGTCCTGCCACAGAGGAGCTGCTCCCATGGCACCTAGGTCCTGCCATGCAGCTGCTCCCATGGGCACCGAGGTCCTGCCATGGAGCTGCTCCCATGGGCACTGAGGTCCTGCCGTGGAGCTGCTCCCATGGGCACCGAGGTCCGGCCACAGAGCTGCTCCTACTCACTGTCTCACACTGGTTTCCAAACAACCCTCTGTGTTTTCCTGTCGCGCCAGCCGCCTTCTAACAGCATTTACCAGCTAAGGCTGTAGTTAGGCCAGCAGAACATAGTTAGGCTTGTGCAGAACCCTGCACACCACAGCACACAACTCAGCGCTCTCCTTTTTTTAGCGGGGTCTGTTCTGTGGCAAACCTTTCACACAGGCGCTCTCGCTCTGTGGAAGCTGGGAGTTCAGCTGGGTGTTTCGGCAGAGCTCAGCCCTGCAAGGCCACGGAAGAGCCTCCTCTAGGGGCCAGCACAAACCCGGGCAGCCCAGCCCCATCTGCTTCGCAAGGCTGCACAGGGGCCTCGGGAGGAGGTGGCCAATGCCAACCACTCCCTGGGAAATGGTTCACCTTTCCCAGCAGGAGACACCACAGCTGCTGGAACCAGCTGCAGTGCCGGCTCAGTCCAGTAGAAACCACACAAGCAAACAGGGTAACAATGAGACTCAGTTATAGCTTTATTTAATAACTGGTACAAAGTCCCCCTCAGGCAGATCGTCCCAGTCCCGTTCCCTACCTGAAGCGGAGCAGAACTTGAGCGTGACCCTTGGCGGAGCTGGCTCCCAGCGAGCCAGGACTGCTCAGCACTTGAGACGGGATGTTCTGCTCGTCTACCAAGAGACCCGCGTGAGTCTGGCTACTTGTCCCTTTTCTCCCATTTAACAGCTAGACCCTGGCAGGCAGCAGGCAGGTGCCTCTGATCCAGCCAGGTGCCAAAAGGCAGCGGGACTGTGAGTTTGATGAAGACAGCAAACGGTACCTGCACGTGGGCGCTCGCTACTCACACTTCTGGCTTGTGAGCAGGACGCGTGTCACGAGGCGCCTACACTCACCCGTGTTGCTTCGGGCTCAGTTAACACCCTGCGCGGCCGTCCTGCCTGGGGAGGGCGGCAGCGGGAGGCAGAGCTGGCAGCACAGGGCGTTTCTGGATCTCCCTGTGCCAGGGGGCACCGCTGCCTATTTCACTATCTACTCGATGTTAAAGCTTCACCAGGGGAAGATGGTCCCATAACCTGAAACAGTAACTGAGGGCTATCCTGCCTGCGTCCGGCCCTCCTGCACAACTGCTGCAGCAGCAGCGTCCTGGCGGGTCAGCAGGGGCAGTCTGGAAGCCAGGGCTGCTGCTGTTTAATCCCTTGTACTCTGTTGAATAGTGCACCTTGGTTAGTGTAAGTTAACTTAAGTGTTTTGCCCTTTCAGGAGGCTCAGGTAAGAACCCCCCTGTTCCTTCTTAACACACATATGGCGATGAGACCAGGACAGTGTGTGTGACTCCTTCTTCCCAGGGCTGCTGGGCACACCAAGCGTGTGCGGAGGGCAGAGACCCCGGGCCGGGCTCTGCGCTCCCGGCCCTCCGCAGGAGAGCCCTGCCTGCCTCCCGCGGCCACACCTCACACCCTCAGAGTCTGTCCTTCCCACATCCCACGGACGCCATACAGACTGCACCACAAGGGTCCTTTAGCAGAAGCACAACTAGAAAGCAATTCTAAACCTCACAAAGCCACAGAAATTATATTTGAATGAAAGGGGGAGACAACGGCTGTCATCTGGATTGATATACAGCACAGACAGGAGGTGGTATCAGCAGGTACAGTAACGTGACTTACTAGGACTTCAGAATGTTAATGAGTTTTAAAGGGGCTCTGATGACAAGGGCATACAGAAAGGACCGAAGTAATGCCAAGTACAGACTACCAAGGAGGTGGCAGCTCAGATGGGCATGCACAAGTTAGAGAGAACAGTTAATGCCATGTTGGATGAAATGCTAGATTCTGAGTGGGTTCAGTGGGGGCAACTGGAGTTGTCTGAATCCAGAAGAAGGGCTCCTGCTTAACAGGACACTTCCATGGTTTGAGGTGCTTCCTGGAGATCAATTGCATCGGGGGTTCCCACACTTCCTTCGCCATGGTTGCTGGTGTGAGACCGGCTGCGCACGCTCTCGCCAGAGCCCACGCTGGAGGAGGAGTGGGTCCGGGAGCGGATCAGCCTGGTCATGCTGGCTGCTGGCACTGCGAGAGACAGCACAGACAAGGGTTACTAAAGGAGGCGTGGAGCAAGAGTCACCATCACTCAAATGTGTGTGGCTGGGTAAGCCCAAAGAGAGCTGTACCCTCAGGAAGAAAACTCACCATTCACTGCCAAAATTTAGATTTTTGCACGACTAAAGCAAGATGTTTAAGGCCCAATTTCAAAAGGTCCAAGGAGAGCAAATGCCAGAGGTGTAACTGAACATTTGCAAGTGCAGTCATGGTGGGTGTCTGTGCAAACCAAGGCAGCTGTTGTATAGATGACCTTTTGAAAGTTAGTCTCTTGGCTCTAAAAAAACCACAGAGCTGAAATCATGCACAATCAACAAAATACAAATGAAAGGTGAAAAACCATAGCATACACATTGTACGATGGATCAGCCTAGCCCACAGGCCAGCAGGACATGCTGAGACAGAGCAATGCACCCGAAGAATCATTCAACTCAGGACACAGACTTGGGCTGAGCCCGATGCACAGATCAAGGTACCTGACTCAGTGCTTAGGTGGCTGAGCTGCACATAAGGGACTGGAAACAACATGAGACAAGGAAGGGATGAATACAGGAAAGAGCCAATTAGTTGCAGGGTGTGACTAGCACCGGCACTGCTCCTGGGATCCCCAGCTACCTTCCCTTCTGCTCCCAGCTCACACGTCCACTGAAGACTCCCACTGTCAGTGGCAACAGCTCCTAATAAGCGTCTCAGGGGGTGCCAGGCTGACTCAAGGCCTGACTAGCTCGAAACTGCAGTGTACGTGGTGACCCTACCTCCCCACCGTACACACGAGTCAGCAGACGCTACTTCCTTGAGGCAGGGGAGCTGGGGCATACTCTGCAATTCCACACACTGAACATAAATTAGTGAGTCTTGAGTTGACGATGTCAGATCTCTGCTGCAAGGCCCTGCCTTCTACATGCAGCGGCAGCACAGCAGGTCCGACTGCTGCAGCCGATGGCCAGAAGTAGCCAGAACAGCCCTGGGGGAAGTGGCTTCTCCCTTTCTAGAAGTCACAGGCTACTGAGATGCTTCTCGCTTGTTCCCCTCCTCTGAGAAAGGAGCCTTGCTGGCCCACCCTCAGCAGCTCTGACAGCCTGTCCCACAAAAGGCAGGAAAGTAGCTCTCCCTGGGACTAGTTACTAATGGTGGAAGTAGAGCATGACCCTTCTTCCTCTCCCAGCACTGCACATCCAGTTGACAAGAGTTGCTGAATCTCAAAGCCCTGCTGAAGTCCTTGCTCTGATGGCAGTTCCTGCCAACTCTATTAACACCAGCGACAGGACAATGAGACTTAAACATGGAAATGCTCTTGGTCCGGGGGGTGAGGGAGCCCTTCTCACCTGGCTTCCTCCTCTGCGGGATCAGGCTCTTTTGTCCAGCAGGGGCGCCCAGGTCAGCCGGACCCAGCTCTATAGAAAAGGATGATTTCTTCCAGAGCCCTGACCTCACGAGCCCCTCCACCAGGTGCAGAGCAGCACGCTGGGGGCAGTGTCACAGCTGCCACAGTGGCTACGCTTAGTCGTTAAGCAGCCACATAAACTGATCCCTCCTATGATTCCAGCTTTTGAAGGTTTGTCCATGAGAAGGGAGCTCCTAGCCCCGGCAGGCAAGATAAGGAGCTGTGCCAAGGTGCCTGCCACGGAGGCAGGGTAGATTTAGTGCAGCAAGTTCTCGGGAAGTGTGCCGGTCCCTGGAACACTGAGGGCAGGGCCGCAGCGCTCAGCCCGGCACACAAAAGAGCAGCCTTCTGACTCCAAGCACGAGGAGCAAGCAGGGCACGGGCTGCACCAAAGCACAGCTCGCTCTGGGCTCACAGGGCGTCTCGCAAGACAACAGCTCTGCTCTGCAATTAGAGGGATCCAACCCGAGATATTGCTGATCCCTAGTGCAGTGAAAATCTAAAAGAAAGGGTATGTCTGAGAAGGAAGAAAATAGCTCCCATGAACCTCTCACAACTGCAATGCTCAACTTCTTCCCCTCTGGAGGAGGTAACAGCAGCCAGCACAGAATCACTGCCTCCAGGGCCACGCTTTCCCCACCTGTGACAAACAAGGACTTGCAACGTTTTACCAACAACAGCAACCACAAAGGGCGTCACCACTGTGGCCTCAGGATTAAACACACATCAGGGAACAACACCGGTTTTCTAATACTTGTAAGCACATTAGTCGATTTTCTAGTGTAGATGGATCTCCTGGCAACCACACTAACTCACAGGTGGGGACACAGATGTCAATGGGCTCAGATGGACCAGAAAGCTTGAATCCCCCCACACCAACCCCGCTTCAAAACAGAGAATTGTGTTTGTCACTTACTGTAGCCCATTCCCTGCACAAAGTACTTGAAGGCCTCAGTCAGCTTCCCAGGCTGGGGACACAGAAGATGAGGTTTTAGTACGAGCAGGGCAGGATGTTTTACACAAAGCCAGTTCAGCTGCGTGCTTCTTACCTGAACCACCTGGGGCAGGCCCCCGCAGTCTGCCATCTGCAAGAGGGAACAAGAGGCAGGTTGAACCATCCTTCCCATCTCATGTTCCCCATCCTGGAAGGGCAGCAGCTCTGCCCGCCACCCTGGGGCTGAGGGAGCAGACCAGGGCATGAGGCACACTCTGCTACCTCGACTCCAAAGCAAGGCCTGAGTCTATATCATCTATTGGGGGCTGCTGCTGAAGGCACCCAGCACCTTGGGGGCTGCATTACCAAGCCATCGCAGGACATATTGTAGGAACCCAGGAACAACCCTCCTGAAACATCCTGCTACTCTCCCCAAACTTGGCATTTCGCACTTGGGTACAGCAGCTACTTGGTCCACTTCCACAGCAAGAGCTGAGGATGGGATGGACCAGTTGGAAGCTGGAAAGAATGATGTTTTTGCTGGCAGATAGCAGGGTGGGAACAGAGTAACCCTGCCACTTCACAACAGGTTTCCTGCCATCTCCTAGCTGAAGACAACAGAGAACTGGTTGTAAAGCAGGGAATCAAGAACCCTCTCACAAAAACCTCTGTTCTCCTGAGTCTGTCTCCATGCAGGAGAGGACATAGCCCAAAAGGACTGTCCAGAAGCATCTAAAAGCAAAACAGGGGGCCAGCTCCTAAATGGAGGTGACCTCAGAGGCAGATTGGAATGATTTTGCAATGGCACTTACCTTCAGAAGGGTAGTCTTGGTTGGGTCAAGCCGTGAATTGCATTCAACCTAAAATAAAAGGAGAAAAGAGGGGCACGAAGTCATGCAGGAGACCCGAAGAGTCGGACACCCAGAGTTCACAGAAATATTCAAGGTTGGAAGGGACCTCTAGAGATCATCTAGTCCAACCTTCCTGCTCAAGCAGGCACACCTACAGCATGTGGCACAGGGTGGCATCCAGGCGGGTTTTGAAGACCTCCAGAGAAGGAGACTCCACAGCCTCCCTGGGCAGCCTGTTCCAGGGCTCTGTCACCCTAACAGTAAAGAAGTTGCTCCTCACCTGGAGATGAAACTTCCTGTGCTCCAGCTTATGGCCATTACCCCTCGTCCTATCGCTGGCCACCAACGAAAAAAGCCTGTCCCCTTCCTCCCTGCATGGGGAGGTTGGGCAGGTGCTCCAGTGGAGGCAATGACTGTCCTCACCAAGGGAGGCTGCTTCTACGGAACCGGGAAGGACTGAGCAAAAATGCAGCGCACCATGTAGGAAAGAGCGAATGGAAGATGCAAGGATGAATGGCAGGTGTTCTTGTCCAAGGGGACCTGCAGCAACAGAGGGTCACTGTTCTAAGAGATGGGGCTGTGATCTCAACGGGAAGTGTCACACGCTTTGGTAACAGGTTACCTTGCAGTGAAACACTGGAGCATCTTCAGGGTTCTGGCAGGTGGAAGGAAAGACTTGTGTGCAATGCATGCACAGAGGAAGATCATTTAAAAGGGCACTGCCACCGCTCCTCTCTGGGCTCACGGCACTCAGGGCCACGGCCTCATAGGAAGAGCAGCTGCAGCTGGGCAGATTGCCATGATCTGGAAAGCCAGGCAGCCAGACAGGCAAGTCAGCGGCCAGAAAGACAAATCCTTTGTCCCAGCTGTGGACCCGAGAGCTGCAAGAATCCTTAGGGATATTATGCCAGCAAAATCAGAACCTGGCAGCCTCCTAAGGCTTCCGGATTTTCCAGGCAGAACTGAAGACTGACTAGAAGTCAGTGGGCCATAACTAGGCAAAGCCCTGTAGCAGTTCTCCGTGCACAGCTCCTCGGCCCAAGCTGCTCCTTTGGGAATCTCCTGCACCCTTCCTAAGTTTCTTTAGGAAACTCATTTTGTTCACAAAAACCTGCTCAGCGCACACGCACGGACTGAAGGGCAGAGCTACCCCAAGCACTCGGCACCGGCCAGTGTCACATCTGCAACTGTGCAGGGTGGCAAGTGGGTTGCTGATGTCTGCAGAGATGACGACAGGACGGAGATGCCATTGAGCGCTGCCCTCCCTCTAAGGCCCTTCTTTTGCAGAGCTCTGTTATAAGGGCTTGCATTTACACTGCAGCCTCAGCACAAGAGCAAGGGAACAGTAATTCATGACTTGAAAACTGAAGTCCAAGCTGTAGCCTGGCAGATGCCAAGGAAAGGCATGTGGTGCTGAAAGGGGCCTGTGCACCACTCCCTGACAAGGTGCTTGGGCACAAGGACTCATTTCGAGGTCCTAACCAGCTCACTCTGAGTTGCCCTGCAGGGCCATTGGGATCCCAAGCCTCGCCTCTCCCACCAGCGGCTGAGTTATCAACAGTTAGGAGAGAAGGGAGGAGCTTTGGACACAGGGCCACGTTTTGTGACTAGCTCTGGACAAGACCAAAGCACCCCTGGATAAGGTGGGTCTGCTAAAGGCTTTCTGGAGCTAATGCCCTGCAGGTAAAGAGCACACATAAACTTACCACTGCTTCCACTGCAGGGGAGCTGTCGCCAACCACGAGCAAGGCCGGGCACCTGCCAAAACCCAACAATGACAAGTTACTCACAGTGCCTTTGTGGGACTTCCAAACGAGGTTGGGCTCTGCACACCAACCACCTCCTCAAAGCTTAGTAGTGCTAAGCACAGGCCTTACCCCCACCACACCACGGCAGGTTCTTACACCAAGGGTTGCACGTGCCCACACGCACACCAGCCCTCTTGCACATGAGCTACTGCTACTATTGCACAAGAGTGATAGAAGATGTGGTTAGAGCCTAAAGAAGCAGCAGGGTGAGTTCTCATGAAGGAACATCTGCGTGTTGGAATTTGAGAATAACCACAACCAATGGTGTTTAATGCAGCTGCAGCTGACTACTAACCAGCACCGTACTTCAATTTTAGAAAAAATACAAACTATGTCAGGAATATATTGAAAAATGCCATGATATTGAAGCCTTTGTTGACAATCTCTGCCTTTACATCCATTTGGCACATGCATTGGTAGCTCTAGGGGAACAGTTAGCATTCAGCCTGTAAAGCATCCCCAGAAGGCCACTGGCTAAGTGGCTGTGAATTTAGAATATTTATTTACAGGCATAGGTAAGAAAGCATCAGACTAGAGCCCCCACTTCAGTGTGCTCCTCAAATGGCAAAAATTATGCTGGCGAGTCTGAGCCACAGACCACAGAGACAGTGAACTTCCTTGGAGAACTGGAAGAGTAAGCAAGTCTATTGGCACAGCGAGCCAAACTTGAACAGACAACATGCCAAGGCTCGACAGATTCCTGTGAATCATTTCAGTGGACAGCCAAGAGCTCCGTGGCTGACAGCTGCCTGCAGGACAGACAGCAGCACTTTAGGTGCCCTTGTGTGTCAGAGAGATTGCTTTGCCTGGAGCCTAAACTGAATTTGAATGCTAGATTCTTCCTGTGCTCAGGGCAGGGGGAAAATTCCCCTCTTTTAGTTCAGCCAATATCTAGCAGGTTCTTCTGCAAATACCTAAAACACCTCCTGGGACTGGCAGGAGCAGAAATGCATAAAATTGCCAAGAAGTCAACTAGAGCCTGTGCTCTCTGCACAGCCCCTAGTGCAGCTCAGGCATCCTGCCCCAACACTGCAGTTCCCTGGCTCCACAGCCTCTACACACTCATTGGTTTGCCCCTTTGGCTCCCTTGCAGCCTAAACATTTGTTCTTTTAATTCCTCTTGCTGACCATCACTGACCCTGTCCAATGCCTGCTCCTTCCCAGGCACACCCTGCTCTCTACATACACTACCCCTTAGATAAATAAGTCACTCCCAAAGTGGGGGCTGTCCCCTGCTCTACAAGCCTGCATTGCCACCTCTGCCACATACACAGGTAACTTTGGTGGCTGGAGGGGTCTGTGGTGACAAACAAAGACCTGCCTCCCTAAAAGAATCATTCTAGGTTGATATAAGAACATTTTTGGTTATTGCACCTCAACATGAAACGAGTTATTGAAAAATACTCAGCAATCAAACTACCAGCTAGCTCAGCAGATTCCAGTGTGGTGGTGTCTGGCAAGATACACTTGTTCATCTGACCCTGCTTGCAGGAGAACCCCAGCACATTCTTCATAGTATCACTACCAGACACCTCTCTGCCCTGCTGCGCTGTGAGCGGAGCATCAAGGCCTGGGACTGCACAAACAGCCTTCCCAGTGCTGCCACAGGGGTTCGAGCTGGGAAGCTGCAGCCTTCCTACAAAAGGGACTTCCCTTTTGTATATGTCAGTATACATGTATATATGTCAGTTGAACTGGCATATATGTTAATTCACAGTAACTTACTTGAGTGTTTTTGCTGTGTTTTCATTGATGCCAAGAACTGGTCTCTCAATTTCCAGGTCTCTACGGCTAGAAGACAAAGCAGAATAATTTTCCATCAAGCCAACAGAGAAAACTGATTACAGTGGGGCATTCAAAAGCTAACTGTGTTAACACTTCCTGTGTTGTGCCACGAGCAGAAACTGCTGAGGAGCTACAGCAGTCACCCTGAGAAAACGGGATCCCTGCCCCAACTGCTGTGTATTTAGAGAGAAGTTCTGGTGAATTCTCAAAGGTTCATCCCAGCATGAGGCTGAGCTTGGCTAAGCACAATGGTTGAGAACTAAGCTGGTATAAGATCGTTTAGAATAATATATAAGGTCGCAAACTACTGAGCAGGTAATCTTCTGTCCTGCTCCCTCTTGCCATGTGCCCACTTTGTCCTTGGCACCCAGGGAGTGGCAGGGATGGTATGGGAGCAATCCTGATCCCAGCAGGCAAAAAGATGTTCTGTACCTGTTGTACGAGGTGAGGAATAGCTGAAGGTTGTCTTGGTTAATGTCCTGTGCGATATGAAGCCTGTATGTCTGGATCAAATCCAGATTTGCTTGCAGTTCCTCCTGTACAGAAACAGAAGAATTGAAAGACAAGGAACATTAGCTTTTTTATATGTAAAATTACGTGTTACTATATCTTTACTGCAGACCATATGATGCGTGGAGGTATAAAGTTATCTTCGGGTTGGGGGTCAGTTGGCTCCAGAGCTTTACTAATGTCTATATAGGTAAAATTCCCTTGCCTGTACAAAAGTTTTCCACTTGAGATTGTTTTTAAAGAAGCAAAGCTTCATAGGCAAGCCCCATGATGAGCATGAAAGGAAAGTCTCCCTCCATCACCCTCTCTATGAAGAAAATATGTTCTGATTAAAGAGAAAGAAAAGGAAATATAAGAAGCTGTATACAAAGAAGAGCCCCCAAAGCAGGAGGAGAACAGAGGAGGAGAATGTGTGCTCTAAGTGGGAGGAAGGTAAGTGACCTTCCTCCAGAGCTGAGGACTGATATAAGCAGAAGCTTCAAGTGAGGGACTATCTGCTACAAATCACACACGATGTGCATGTGCCACGAACCCTCCTGTCGCTCTGCGAGCTTGCTGCATGGGAGCTAGCAAACTCCAGACAGAAGGTTTTGCTGTAGCACAAGGCTCTTGGGAAGCGCCGATTTGCCTCTACTGAACCCGAAAGGGAAGAGGACGAGGGCAGTGCGGCAGCTGCGCCTCCGGACACACACACCACCCCGCCGGGCGAGCCCCAGCCCCCCGGGGTCTGTGTGTCCACAGAGAACCACGTGCCACCCGCTTCTGCTGAGGGCTCTGCTTCCTTCCCTGTTCTGGAGCGTGAAGGGGATGGACGGGGTGCGAGGAGCCGCCTGCTCCCGCCGCCACGCAAAGCGCTGCTGCAGCTTGCCCAGCTCTGGCAGCCCTGAGCTACTCCAGAGCAGGTGCATAAAAGAGTAAAGTTCCTTGAGCAGTAACATGGGCTTTAACGGCTGCTGGTTACTTACATGGCCAAAATGGTGTGCCAAGACAATGTCCACGATGTTGGTTGTCCAGCCTGAAAACTGAAGAGGAACCATGATTGAGCAGGAGGGAGAGGGACTGGAAAATACTGTTTCATTGCAAATTCCCAATCAACTCCTCAGATTAATGACAAAAACAAAGAAAATTATTCAAAGGACATTACAAAAGCTCTCCATAAACTTGGAATGATTAATAATTCCTATTAATTGTTCAGAATAACAGAACAATTACAAGATCCATTCAACCTCAGCCAAAGGGAGCCTGCAAACACAGTCACTAATTTGGAGGAAAACTGAGTACTGAGCAGCTACTCCTCTCCAAGGAGCTGCTTGTGAGGGCCTCTCCTCTCCACACAATCACACCCTCTCCTGCTCCTGCTGCGCAAGTTGTACTACACCCAGACTGAGGACACAGCAGGGATGGCAGCTTTGGCCACAAACTGATGAATTCTGGTACACTGTCCTTTTTCTTCTTACTCTACATACTGTTCATTAAGCACCGCAGAGGAGATACACGGGCAGAGGAGAATCTCACCTTGGAGGCTGCCCAGTCGATCCAGCCCTTTGCACATGGGTCAACGTTAATGAGCACAAGTCCTTCCACCAAGTCTGGGTGACTGAGCTGCGAGAGAGAGCACAGGCACGCTGAGAAGGACGATACCGTCCTCGAAACACGCGCGGGGCAGTGGCGGGCACAGGATCTGCAAGGCTTCTTGAAAAGCGAACAGAGAGCAAACGAGGCCTGTAGCAGCGAGCTGCCTCCTCAGAGCGCAGCACCAGCAGGTCCCCACCAGGCCCTGCTCTCTGCAAGGGCCGTCGCTGTCACGGGGGGAGCCACTGCTCATAGGGCCCCCGCAGCCCGAGCCAGCCTCAACAGAGACTTCTGGCGACCCAAGTGCCTGGTGCAGCTGAACGGCCCCTGCTCAGACTCCATGTGTCACAGGACTGTAAGCAGCGACTTTCTCTGCTCCATTCTGGCTCTAGGCAGTAGGCTCTAGGTGACCCTGCATGAGCAGGGGGGTTGGACTCGATGACCTCTGAGGTCCCTTCCAACCTTCGGCATTCTATGATTCTATGATTCTATGATTCTATGATTCTATGAAACAGTCAGGAAGGCTGCTGGCAGCTGCATGGTGCTCATTGACTTCACATGCTTATATCCCCTCTGCCAGAAAGAAATGTATAATTAAGAACGTAAAGCTATCACTTTCCTTTCAACGGGTGGAGGATGAGATCCCCTTCTCAGTCAATGGAAAAGCACACTCCCCATCTCCTTGCAGTGCTGGTTCACAGCACCAGACAAATCATTTGGTGTCACAAACCCTGGAATCGGCACACTACAAGGCAGCCAGGGGATGCCAGCCATGCACATCCCCAGGTTCTTCTACAAACATATAAGCATTCTCAGCCTGGATATTCCTAGCAGCCAGGACAGAGCCCTGCTGACTCAAAGGCAGTGCCTTCAACCCTCTCGTGTCCAGCACTGCTTCAGAGTATCTTTGGCTGCTCCAGTTTAACCACCTGGATGAGTAGCAGCTCTCGCAGGGACCCCTGCAGCCTGCTCTAATTACTGCTGCTTTGTCTGTGCCCCACAAACGATCTGTTTGATCAGTGGGAGACCAGAGCTCATACAGGTCACAACGGAATGAAGACACTTACCGCAAACCTGCTGAGGACATAAGCACCAGCTCCCAGTCCAATCCCAATGACGCTCCTCAGGCTGAAACACAGGCATTTCACAATCAGCAAGGCTGTCTCAAGCTCACAGCCCAAGCATCCCTAGAGGCAAAACCTTTCGCCTCTCTGCATCCAGCTGTTTGCTTATAGCTCATTTTGAAACGATCCAGCAGTGATGCAGCAGCCATAAATTGCCTCACGTGGCAGACAAGGTTGCCAGCACAAGGACCAGACAGGGTTACATGGGTTAGGAGATGCTCAAGCCTCTTGAGACAACTCAGGTGTTGCAAGCAGAGATACAGGGAGGTGCAGGAATGGCTGTAACCAGTTGCTCACCCTGTTTCTTTTCAGGACTTACTTCAGGTGTGTCAGAACAGCAGGGAGCATTTCAGCCAGTTCATCCATACTGGGATACTGATACCTGAAAGTCAAGCAAAGCAGAAATTAAAGCACCTCAAAATACAGCTCACCAGGGGTTACCTCCAAGTTCCACCCAGGGCAGGAGGGCCACGGAACACGTGACAGGTACGTCAGTGAGGTCAGCCAGGCCTAAGCCAGGCCTTAGTGACAGGAGGGCTCCCTGCCAGCCCCTGTGCCCCCTCTCCTTCCCACGGCGCCTGCTCCAAGGAGCTCCGTCTAAGCAGCACCACGGGCAGACGTGCAGCAGCCCTGTCTGGGACTGCAGGGTTGTCCGGAGCTCTTACCCAGATGGGAATGGGGGGGCTCCTTCCTGTTGGCCGGGGGCATCCACATGGCACACGGCAAAATGCTGGGTGATCTCCTGCATGTCCTCAAAGTTAAAAAACGCATTGAAACAGGATTTGTCTGCAAGAGGAAAGTGAGACATTTACTGAGATCCCTGCTCCAGGCACTGGGGCTCACGTCCACGTGAGACTGGGACACGGTGCTGGGCGCCACAGGCCGCTGGGATCGCAGTGCAGCCCTGGGTCCCGGCAGAGCAAGCACCAAGCCCGGAGCACATGCGGAGCAGCACCGCGGAGCCTGTGGAAGCACAGCAGCACGCATGGGGCCAGAAGCTTGTGGGAGGACCAGCGAGGGGCTGCTCCACCAGGAGCACTGCGGCAGCCCCGCAGGGGGGCTCCTCACCCGTGCACCTCCACAGAAGGATGCCCGGCGTGGTGCAGAGCTGTGCCCACCAGCAGCAGGGCAGAGCTGCCCGCTGCAGCCGACCCCGCTCGCCAGGGCTGCGCCACGCGCAGGACGGCGCCACGTGCTCACAGGCAGACCTTTCCTTTTCAAACCCAAATGAGGCGCCGCATCTCAGCGCCAGGCCAGGCCAGGCCGCCCCCACACTCCAACGAAGATGCCACGAACAAAATTTCTTCAGAACCTTGTTTAAAATTGGACTTTCCCACATGGAAAGGCAACTTACGGTTGAGGCCGATGTCGTGGTAGGTGAGGATGACGGGTCTGTTGCCCTTCGGGATGCCCCGCATGGTGACGTGCACCACTCCGAACGCGGTCTCAATGTCGTGTTCCTGCAGAGAGAAGCAGTGGTGCCACCGCGCGCGTGGCGCTGGGCGCGGGGAGCCGCAGCCTCCCCACGCTGTGTGCGCCCCGTCCCCGGGCGGCCGTGCTGCCGGCTCCTACGCATCCACACTGACCACAGAGCTTCCAGAACAGCCTCCGCTGCTCCGCAGGCTCCCGGCAGCCGAGCGGAGACCCTCAGGCCTGGGCAGCGGCAGTGCCAGCGTCACTCCTGCGGGCAGCAGAGCGGCCCCCGTGCTCTGTGCCGCGCTGCCGCCCCAGCGCTCGCCGCAGCTCGCCCCGACTCGCCTCTCACGCCACGGAGCTCGGAGCTGCTGTCTTAACCACAGAAGCCTTCTCCTCTGCTGCTGGATTTGTTAACATGATAGCAAAAGAAACCCTAGGCCCCCCGGCACAGACACAGGAGGCTGTGCTGGTTTCCAGGCAGGGATCTGCAGAGCAGCGTGTAGAAATGATGGGAAATGATGGGAAATGAGGGGTTTCAGGGGCGCTTGCTGCAGAACCAGGGGTTTAGTGAGGGCTCTTTGCACAGTGCGCAGCAATCAAGAGGACTTTCGGCACAGCTCTGACACGCAGCCAGGACACAAACCAAAGCCACAAGCTCCGAACGGTGGAACGAGGACGTGCCCTCAAGCGCAGGAGCTCAACGGGGCGCAGCCGCGCTGGGATGGCCGCGGGCGGCAGCCCGGCCGCCTGCCGCCTCAACCTGAGCTATCCAAGCAGGGCAATGTCCCCAGCTACACACCCGCCCCCCTCCTCCCCCAACTATTGTCTCAATGTTAGGAAAAAAAAAAACCATTTAGGGAATTTGCTCTTGGTGGAGCCTAAAGACAGAACTTTGTAACCTCAAAAATACTTCTTACTAGATAGGACAAGGTATGTGAATTTACAAACCGCAGTCTTTTCCAGGAACTTGTGTTCAGACCGATACAGAACAGCTTGAAGCACTTGGCTTGCAGCACAGCAGAAATTCATTTTCCCCCTCTTCCAGGCTTTCCTGAGCGCTCACGGAGGGTCAGGTGCATTTACCTCTCCCACTGACAGACCTTCCTCTCTCCTTTCTTCCTGGGGGCTCCAGAGCTTCTTTCCTTCCCCTCAGAAGAGTCACAACAGGAGCAAGCTGCCATGGCCCCATCACCTGAGGCAGCTTGAAGCCTTCTCTCTATTAGCTTTGCTGGATCCTCCGAGAAAAAGGCAGGAATTCTTCGTGTGGTGCTGATGGCCTCTGACTGCACTCTTCCCCTCCAAGCAGTTGGGCTTTCCTTGCACCTATCTACTAAATTGCACACGTGGAAAAAATCCAGAGTCCCTAGGAAGCAAAAGCTTCTTGCTCCAGCAAGTGCATGCTGCTCAGCCCTTCTAAGGGGCTTTTAAAGGCAGCAAGAGCCCTTCTCTTGGCGCCTGCCCAGTTCGGAGGTGTTACTGGGTGCTTTGCAGACCTGGCAGCTCTGGAGGAGGCCGAGCCAGCCTGAGGGCGACGATGCCGTGCGCTGCTAACACAGCCAAGCGCAGCAGGCTCACACACACCTGAGCTCACCTGGGGTCTTCTTGCCATTCAACGCGGGTCTCTGCCAGCAACGGTCCTTGCTGCTCCCCTCCACAAGCCGCTGTGACTCACTGACGTGGCAGGAAGCCATCCACGTTGCCCTTTTTTGCCCTTTTCATTTCGTTAATCACAGTGGGCTCGTTTGTGGCAGTCTCAGGAGGGCTGGCGGCGGCTCCGAGTCACGGGTGCGGGAGCAGCAGCCCTGCCCGGGCGCCAGGCTCGCTGAGCGGGGCTCAATGACTCACCGCGCTCATCAGGCCGCTCCTCCTGAGGACCAGGGGTTTTACACGCAGCAGCTAAAGGTCAGCTATCAAACAGGGGCATAAAACCCGAACCGAGCGAGCAGCAAGAAAAGCACGGAAACCAACAACAGAGCTGACGACATAGCAAAAAAAAAAATTATATATGACATCAGCAGTATAATGTCTTTTCTGGAATTATCGTCAAGCTGTTACTGTAAATGTGCACTTCCACTAGGAGGAAGACTTAGACAAGGCACCAGCAAGGAAAGAGCCACCTCTCTTCAGACAGTTTGTTCAAGCTGCTCAGGGTGCTTTATATGACTCTGCTGTACTCTGCATTTTTGTGTTCAGAAAAGCTGAGCTCGGGCTTTTTCTTAGCTCTCTACAGGGGAAGGAAAAGAGTTTCCTTGAGCTAAGGATTGGTCCTTTCTCTCCCACGTACATTTGGCTTTTCATGCTGGGCAGGGTGAGACTGTGGGAAATGCGAGTTGGCTGAGCAGCTGTGTCCCATGTGCTCAGGAGGCCCCGCAACAGCGCGAGGAGCCCTGCGGCAGCGTGGAGAGCCCCACAGCAGCGTGCAGAGCCCCACAGCAGCGTGCAGAGCCCCACAGCAGCGTGGAGAGCCCCACAGCAGCGTGCAGAGCCCCACAGCAGCGTGGAGAGCCCCACAGCAGCGTGGAGAGCCCCACAGCAGCGTGCAGAGCCCCACAGCAGCGTGGAG